ATTGCATTGATATTTGAGATTTTCACAGTATTTATATTCTGCACACTATTATTGAAATCTAGTAATATGACCAATTTGATTAAAATATTCCCATATAGAACTTTGAGAAGTCATAATGATAAAATATGTATAATAATAAAGATATAGATATTATTGTTATCATTATATGTATTCTATATAAATGTATTGGTTTATCATTATTTACCAAGCACAAATATCTTAATTGATAATGATTTATAAACTTAATCATATGTATAATTGTGTATAGGCATTTACGATATTAATTAGTAAATATGCACATAATACACATAGATATATCTCTAATTATAGCTCTGTTTAAACTTTGCCTATGTAAATCTGACCAAACAAATTGCAAGATTTATGTGAAACGCAAAATGGAGTTTTTATCATATGAAATTTCTGGTAGTCAAGATAATTCACTTATATTATTATTGAAAACTATAAAGAGAGAATGTTGTAAAAATCTAATAAAGTTCACGTGACAAGTTATATAGAATTCACGGTGAAAGTCAAGATTTGTAAAATCTCTCTTGGTGAATTTTATATATCAATATATGTTATTTACAGTCATTCTCTTTATAATATAGCTCAAAAATCACAGAGATTTTGCCATAAAATAATATTTAATAATTGCCATAATAAATTTTTGTCCACTATATCAAGCAATCTACTATAAAAGAGTTTGCATAAAGAATTCATTATAGATTTTATTAAAGAACAATTTGGAATAGTTTGAATTATTTTTGAATGCTTAATTATATTAGAAAAAAAATCATTCTTGCACTTTAGAATATGTTCATTAATTTTCATTTATAATTACTAATATTGGTTTGTGTAAAGTTTACAATACAGACTCGTATTTATATTATTCTCTTATGATCTAAACTGATCTTAATATTTCTAATCTCATGTTTTTTTTATCAGATAACTAATAATCTCCTATATTCATTACATGTATCTGATAAACATTTTAATCTGAATACTCATTAAAGTATTTATTTCTGTGATAATGAATATATTTATTGCAATCATGAGAATTTGAAACTTTTATGTTCCATCTTAAGTTCATCGTATAAGTTAACTTCTAAATTAAGCATTAATTATATGCAACATCATTATCATTCAATGGCAGAGCACAAAACCATCATGTTAATATTGTTATATAAACTGCCTATAGTTGCCCAGATGCTAATTAAAAATATCCCTAAACTTAAATAATATCTTCAAGATAGAATGTGATAAAGAAGTAAATGCAAAGTATTATTGATTGTAGAGTGGAATAAAATAAAAATTTTTAATCAAATTATGCAAATCATGTAGATTATTTGGATAAAATTATCATAATTTCTTATATAGTTATACCTCTCTAAGTGCACCCTTCCTAGAGATGGGCAAATCACTGCATTTTGGATTTTTTATATGTATTATGCGTATTATGCAGTATACATGTATGCATGATATCATGTATGATGTTATATATTATTGCAGTATGGGTTTAACATGTGACAGCAGCATAAAAACCAGAATTTTACTCAGTCTTGGGAAGGAAAGAGGAAAGAGCAGAAGAGAAAAAGGATAATAAGAAGAGACAGAGAGGAAAAAAGATGGCTGGCACAAATAATATATTTACTACTTCACTTGGATATTTTAATCTCTCAACATTACTAAAACTTGATACAAACAAATGATAGTATTAGAAATGATAGTAAAATGAAAGATTGAAGCTTTATTGCCAGAACTAATATAATATCTTTGTCAAGTTGAAAGAATTGAGTTTTCTGATTGTGGTGAACTGAAATATTCCGTAAAAAGCAAATTATATATACAAAAGATAAGCAAATTATTGAGTTTATTAAAAATTAATAAAAAAAATTACATTCAATATTTTTTTGCTATAATAAAGGTATTAGCGCAAAGATATATTATAATTCATTAATTATTCCTCTTTACTTTCCAATTCTTTTGATTCAGACTCTGATTTACTAATGTCTTCTTTCTCACTTTTTTTGGAATTTTCCATACTATCTCTTTCAGAATCTTCCATATCAGTTTCTTTGGATAAAACTTCCTCTTCTCTAACTGAATCTCACATTCCAATATCATTTAGTTACAAAATTTCATTGATAGATCTTTCTTCTATATGTGCTATAGACTCTAATATATCAACTGATTCAAAATAAGGTAGAATAAGTTTATAATTACTATAAATATAAACCAACTTTAATAATCTTCCATCTGTTAATCAATTTCTTTTCTTGTCATAGATATATGAAAAAGCAGACTAATTGCGCTCTGAGATAGCTGAGAATGACGGAATTGTAAGAATTCAAATAGTTAGCTTGCAGAGTTATGGTGTTATAGTATTAAAGTTACCTTCTCATCATGTAATTGAATCAATTTTACTAATTATCTTTCAAGCTAGCTTGATATTAAAAATCCTGGTTTGTGTCTTATATTGAAATAATTGTTTCTAAATAATATTGGCATTACGTGGATAATATTGGTGAATAAAGTTTGAAATTGTTGTTATGTCATTAGCTAGAAAATCTTTATCAAGATATTATGGATCAAGTAAATTTGCCATTGTTATTATGTGATGATATATTTTTGACCAATAATCATGTAATATTTTTTGTATCTTATCTTTTACTTCTGGAAAAATATAAACTAATATATAATTTTATTATTAGTTAAAATTATAAATATGAATATTTATTAATAAAATAAAATAATATACCATTTGAGATGAGTTATTGATGATACTAATGATAAAAAAGTGCAAGATGTGGAGTATCAGATTCAAAGATTGCAATACCAGTGACCAATATATCAAATACTGTAAGTAATGATTGTATCTTTTACCAAAAATCCTCACTTATAATTATATCAGAAATTATTTCAGGAATATTAATTGTAGAAGCTTGGATTATTTCAATATTAGCCAACTCAAGTGCCAGTTGATTTTGATAAATTGAGTTTAAACATGTGATAACTGATCTCCAATGCATTTTGACTAGATATTTGAGTGAATTTCGATAATTATAGCTGAATAATTAGTATCTTTTGAGAATTGCTGCTGGAATTTGATGAATTTTAAAATATTTAACAAGTTCTTTAGCTTTTTTTATTAACTGAGCACACCAAGGTATTTTCATGATATCACTCACTAAAAGATTCAAGTTGTATGTAACATATCCAAGAAATAAAACTGATAAATATTCAATTTTTAGTATTTTCCATGCTTTTTTCATTACTGATGCATTATCAGTAATAACAGCAGAAATTTTTGATTATCCAACTTGTCTTATAATAGCAAATAAATCTTGAGCAACTGCATCAGCATCTTGATGTTTTACTTTAGTTGGATGAGCAGAATAAAAGATAGGAGTTGGTGTAGTTAAGATAAAGTTTGTCCAATATTCTTGTACTAAATTTGACCTATATATTTAATAATTTATTAAAAATTAATAATTAATAAAGAAAAAATTAAATAAATATAAATATAAATACCATCTATCAGAAATTAGACATAGATTTTTACACTCATTAAGTAATAATGTAACTTTAATTTTAGTTTCATTATATATAGTATCCAATAATGTTGTAGAAAGCTTTTTTCGACTTGATAATTTAAAAGCAGATCATGCTTTTTTCCAAAGATCTTTGATTGGCTCTATCTCAGGTAATAATAAAAATAATCCACAATAAAATATTAATCATGCAAATGTCAATTCAAGTGCTTTTTGTTCTGTAGATGTCATATTATCAATTTTAATATAGCTAGTAATTTGTCTATTTGACAAATTACTACTATTTATCAATGTTGTTGCTTCTTGATAAGATTTATCAAAGTATCTTTGTCATTGTTCAATAGTAATTTGATCATATTTTCAAAAATGAGCTTGAGCTGGTCATAAAGCATAGTTGATTTGATACTTGCACTTTTGACATTCTGCTCTTTTTTGTTGAAAACCAGGTACATGTCCAAGTTTATTATAGTAAGTCCAAATAGGATCTGATGGTGGCATTTTTAATTAACGCGTTTTTAGTGATAATCTATATCACTTGATAAATTTATATGGGCATATTAGATGCATAATGACATATGCATGCACATGCACTGCATGATGCTGCATGCATGCATGCATGCTATCATGCAGTAGTGCCCATCTCTAACCCTCCCTAAGTGCACGTACTATATAACTTCTCTCTAAATACACGGTATATTTTGATCCCAGCTTATAAGAGCTCTATATATTTTGACCTCTATAAATGCACACTTTTTATTTTTTTTACTATGGTCCCAAGG